TCTTCTATTTTACTAACTGTGCTAATTTGTTTTGACTGCCCACCTAACAAGGGCCGAACTCGGCAGTAAACCGTAATACTTCCTGATCACATGCAAAAAGTTTACACATTCAATGCTTTTGAGAATCTGGAAAGCTAGGCCGAGTTCAATAATATGATAACACTTGGTTTTACCTTTCAAATCCTGCAAATGATTGTTGATCTTGCGGTTTTCTTCAACAACGCTATATATGCTGAAGCAGCAGAAGCTAGGCCTTGAAGGTGCTTACCTATAATTAAGGATAGCTATCAATTAGATAGATAAATGATTGTCCTCTGTCAAGGGATTTTGGCAGCATACGTACTTATATTGGCGAGATCCTGTTGCTAACGTTCCTTTAAAGAGTGCATTCCTTTTTTCGTATGATGGATGATTTTTTTCAATTCCTAAACATTTGACAGCATCAAATTTGTCATTTTCTGGACAATGTCGTGTCTTCATCAAATTGTAGGAAAATCAGGGAGCATCTTACCTGGATCTCTCTATATTGTTGTTCCACCAACCCTTGTTGCTTCAAAAGCTGTTGCCTGCTTGATGCCTTATTATTAAATTTGAACTTTTCAGCATCACATTCTTCTCGTTCAAGCCTCACATCTTCCATGTCTTCCATCTTAAATAATATGGCAGAACAAAAAGTTCACGCGGTTCAAATCTAAGAACCAAGATATTTACATTGTAAACTGACTAAATTTTCTATAATTGGAATCCAACTTTCACCTTTTCGTCTTTAGAAGCATCTTTCTGGGTGGAATCCTCTGTTTCAGATGCTTCCTTATCTCCTGAACCTATTTTCACCTGCAAGTTTTCAAATTCTTGTCAGAAGAACCACAGTTTCGAATGATCACGTAGAAAAAGAGGTTCAAATTGCAGAAACCGCTTCCTGTTGGGTTGCCATGCGTCGTTCCAACTGCTCCGTGAATTTGCTAAGCAGAGACTCCACCATCTGTTATATAACCAAAAATCAATAAGTAAAAAAATAGACAAATCAAGTAAAACAAATCAATCCTTTCAGTGAATTAAGGCATTGGGGTGGAGAAGTGGAGTGCATGTAAAAGCAAACAAGAACCCTTACAATGGGAATTTCTTCTGACTTCTTGTCAGATAAATGCTCGCGAAGTAATGAATTCAAGTAGTGAAGGGAACCCTGCAGATATCAAGCCAATAATAATCATACACGGATCGTCATGCTTATTTCTATTTTAGAAAAAAAGAAAAGAGTAAATGATCATGGACGATGAATTTCACAAACCCCTTCATTATGATCACGCCAAGGATCACTGCATACAGAAATGTCAGTGGCGCTTGACGTCGAAACGGTCCGTGAAAAAGAATTGATGGATGGTTCCAAGTTTTTGCGCAGAAATGGTTTGACAGAGGTAGGTGGCCTTGCGTTTCCACCGTATCTCCATGATCCATGCTTGTCTCCCTCTATCCATTCGCTGTATGACTTCAATGCAAAAACACAGTTCACTATCCTCCCACAATTCCCTCCCTGCTATGATTTAATAATAACAATAAGAAAAATGCACAAGCACTGGTTTCAATCTAATGATTTCATCACGCTACGGAAGATAACTTGCGTTTGTTTAGGTGTCAAGTGTGAAAGTGTGCATATACACTCACTCACTCACCTCTTCGAAAGCAGAAGCCTCGAAGGTGGGAAGCCCCATCTCCCGCACAGCCACCAGAAAATTCGTTAAATTCTCAAGGTACTGATGCGCGGACAGTGCTGCCCCCTCCGGCATTGCATCAGAATTGCCGGCATCTTGAACTACCTAGCAATAATGAATGAATGGCACTGTTACTCTGGTGAATAGACCCTGAGAACCAGAGTGTACGGATGATAATTAAGTTGATATATGATGATGACTTGAAGACCTTGGGGACGGCTTCGGGTTGAAGTCTGTTAACCACGTTGCAAAGAATGATCCCACTGCGCAGTCCAATCCCGAATTCATCATTCGACGGCTCAGCTGCCAAGTCCTTCCCTCCTACTTCTCCCATCTTTCGCAGCCACCCATCTGCGTCGTACCTTCTAAATGCTGCCATCCACAAATTAAACAAACATATTTTTAATTTTGAAATTGAATACACACACAGCACACTAGAGAAATCAGATATTCATTCTGCAGGTTCAATAGGGATCGAATTAATGCATACAAGCTTCTTCAGCCTTCACGTCGTTCAGTCGGGTCCTATCCAGTTGAAGAAGAACGACGTCTGCCGCCCCATATACAACAGTGTGTCGCCTCGCTATTTCTGCCGCCATTGAGGAGTCTCGAGAATTCAGGCTTGTGAAAAAGCTAATAAATCAATGCACTCTGGGCTTTTTCCCTCTGATTCCGTCTCCCTGAATAATGACGTCTAATTAAACTTGAAAAGCGACACACCGAAGCTGATTCCGAGACTATCGCACTGTCGGGCTTAACGGTTTGTGTTAACCTTCCCACTTGATCTGTTTATCGGGAACGAATAGTTAATCTAGTTACTTTCATTTGATTCAGAATCTGAAAGTCTATTGGATAATATCTGACGAGTTACTAGAATGATAATTAATAACAAAATATCTACTAGAAAAACTGCTTCTGATTTCATGGAGTGATGCATCTTGAAGGATGTTAATGCTAAATAGCAAATTGTGGTAAACTACGTACATTCCATATTTCGCGGTATTGTTTTCACAATTTTCCTTTTCAGACGCAATATGGTACTGAAAGCCAGTCACTGCTACTATTACTGCCACCCTTCTCTAAAATCCGTTACATCCTCTAATAATGTGTTAACAATAATAATAAAAATAATTTAGTGATTTTGATGATACTTTATTGATCCCACACTTTAGCACCTTTTTCTCCCATCTAAAGATTGAACATTAATGACCATTAACTAATTGATATATATATATATATATATATATTATAATGGCACATAAAACTGAACTTTCACATAAAAGAATATCATATGAAAGATTATGTAGCCCATTACACAGATTGAAAAGAAAAACTGCGCAATGCATATAAATAAACCAATGCCAAGAGGGGGAAAAAATATATATATATGTGTGTGTGTGTGTGTGTGTGTGTGTGGACAAGCGCCATCCTTTACGCATCGTTATGTTTACATCAATTAGCCTCACTTACAGGCATCCAGCTCCGCGCACATGAGCTAGAATTGAGTTTGTGTACATCTTCTACTTCACCCATTTGCTTTAATTTAATCAATTAATTAATTCACATGTTCTTCAATCTCACACCCCCTAATTAATTAAATGAGTTTATCTGCCATCATTACTCTAATTTAACCAGTACAGTGAACTGAGAATAGCAGCAAAAAAAAAACTGTTAATTAAATCGGTGCATATTACATAATATATACTATGGGTCACGTGTTACGTGCGCGCGCGCACGATGTTATTGGATCTCCCTGATTAAGTAATAACCAGCCTTGCAGTGACAAAAGTACTAACCCAGTGCCAGTACAAGAACAACAACCTAACCAGCATAAAGTACATTTAAAACGTGACTAATTGCAGCTTTTGATGGGGAGAGGCCCTGTGTGTTGGGCAAAATGGCTATCATGGTTTATGAATGATTAGATGGCATATGTCTTTCTCCAGAACAAGCATATGCACGGTGGAGCCTTATTTCCAAATTGGGCTAGTTAATATCTACATTTGCATCATCTTCACTTCCCCGCAATATCGGCTTTTGAACATTTGCGTTTAAAAAAGAAAGTGGCTTATGCCTTTCAATTAATCATATAATCTTATCTCCCCTCTTTTTTATAACTTGATAAGCCCATGATTCGACTCGGCGATCAACTTTACAAAAACGGAGCTTTTAGCAAAAAGTAGTGCATAAGCTGCACACGGTAAAGGCGCACGCATAATTACATCAATGCCTTTACACCTAATCCAGAAATCATTCTGGTGATACACTCAGTCTAAACGAAATAAGTAAATAGACTGGTACTCATGCGAGTTAATGGTGAAATCTTAATCGTGTCAATGATAGCCTTTAGTTTGAAGCCACAAAAGTGTGGATCGATCGGTTTATTGGTAGGGAGTAGGAATGAAAATGAGGCTTTTCGTGGGAGTCACTGTTTCTACCAAACAATATGGCCTTCCGATTCATTCTTGACGCTGCTCATACCAAACCCAATCATCTAACTGAATCGAATATTTATATTAATAAAGCAAGTGCCATTTTTTCTTCGTTCAGCTAATAAATCGCATCGCCTATTTCCTCTATCTATCTCTGTGCATGTGTGTTATCTAACCCTACCAAAAACCGACAAATTAATCCCAAGTTTGAGGAATGGTTTTGCACAAGAAGATTTTGGAGTGGATGGGTGGTATAAAGGCAGCTGCAGGGTCCATTATATTAACCGAATGGTCTTTTAATTTGGGAAAGAAGCTGGTCCAGGTCCAAAAAACGTTCAGCGTATATGTGTAGGTGACCCACAGTTTTCAAAGTAAAAGGGAATGCAATGGCATGGGGTCTCAAAGTGAATGATGGAGAATTCATACACTATTGGTGCTCCAAGGCACCCGAGTCTGGTTAGGGGACAAAAGGCCCCTCCAAGTTCCTTTCTTATGCTATGTGGGGCAAGTGGAAATGCATACGAGATTCAATCTTATTTATTTATCATGAGGTCATTACTCCTTTCTTAAAAAATTAAGGGTGTATATTATATCTTTCTTTCCTTCCATTTACTGTGACCACACCATTTTATGTATGGGTGATCAAAATATCATTATCTCTTTTCTCAATAGACTAATATATTAGAATGTACAGTACATTTACTTATCTAGTTAGGATCCTCTCTAAATTTCTTTGATGTGGATATGACAGCTTCTTTAACTAATCCGTGATACCACTGTCTCTGACCAAGCAAACTTGTATTTGGCTGTGATATTATTTTGTCAATGAACTATTACACTCTCGTAGGACGCAGTTCTTCAATGTGAATGAAAAGGGATAGAGCGCCTATAAACTCGCCAGTACCACATTAGCCCAAACAATCATTTTCCTGAAATCCCCAAAATACAATTCCTCCTCTCGTAGGTTTGCGCTATTACGGAAAATGATAGCTGGTTTTTTTTTTTTTAATTCCCCTGATACGATTGACAAATCACGGGATGTGTAATTATTTCCTTGTTATCTGAATGCTTAAACAGATCCACGATAGGAATGAAATTCCTCGATGGCGCTACTTCCTTATTTGGTAGCAATGACTTCAATACCTCATTGAAGTTTTGATTAAACGGGATGCAGCCGGGTTCGATAACCCTGTGATTTTTATTTTTAATTATATAATCTGAATCTGAATATATACAAGCATATATATGCGCTTATGTCCTTCATTGGGGTTCTAATATAATCAAATTTGTTTATTTGTTTTTGTGCGAGAACAGACGGTAAGGGGAGGAAACGTCAGCAGCAATCGCGGTTTCAAAAGGGGGGGGGGTGGTCGGTAGAAGGAAAGGTGTTTGGATGCTTCAGAAATGAAGATTGTGTGGTTAAGATGAAGGTAGAGATGTATCTCATTGTTCGGAGGAGAGTTTTTGATAGTTTAATAGAGGAGGATGAGGAAATTGAAGTGGTGAAAATTTCACTAGGTCGAAGCCAAAAAATGGCATCCATGGACGGCAGAAAAATGGAAGCGAATCTTCATGAAAGAGGAGTAGGACTACACATACGCAACAAAGAGAAGAGGAAGATGGAGAAGTACGTTATTTGTTCAGAGTGCCACCAAGGTGGAGATAACGGCCTGGTGTTACATTGTGAACTCGGTGATTCACCAGCCCACACATATTGCGTTGCTCTGGGACGGGAAGAATCTGAAGGTAATTGGTATTGCGGTGGATGTACACCAGTTGCTTTGGGATCTTCATGTCCCAAGTTCAAGAACGTGTTGCTGGTTGACATATGCCAGAGTCTACCTGGTAGAGCATCACCTGTTGCACACGTTCGAGAAATCATAGAACTTCACTTGATGTGTTCACCTTTTAGTCAAGGATTTGGTAACCTTTCATCTAGATTTTCGAGCAGATGTGTTGAGGGAACTTCTCCAGTATCCGGCGGTGGACCACCAACTTTATCGGAGAGACGCTGGACACACCATCAAATTCAGCAACTACTTCAAAACCGTAGAATTAATTCTACGACTAGCAGAAGAAACAGTATTTTAGCCACCAATTCAATCAGTAACTTCCATAGTTTACAAATTGATCCAAGCAGGGAAAGAGCCACTCAACGTTCAGGGATGCAAGATGTGGGAACATCATATCATATCACACATGCTTTGAGGAGAGACAAGGCGACAATATTTATCCACGCATGCAGGGTGGGGACCCTTTGGCAATGAGAGTAAGCAATGCCAGGAGGTCGGTGGTTCAAGATTCAACATCAAGCAACAGACCTGTGACTAGGAAGGGCATTGCGGCCTAAACTGTTTGACGATTCAGGTCATGGTCCTTTCAAGGACATTGTTAGGAGTTCTACACACACCATATTAGCTGCTTGCGGGCTTGAGCACAGAAGGAGCGAGATTTGCTCCGCACCTCCACCGTCCATCTATCCGCACGTTGAACTAACGAATGGTGGACGAACGAGTCTGATTAAAAGAAGCTGCTCATCTGGCTATAATTATTTTGTTGGGGATGTGGTGAAGAGGATCATGGGTACATGAATTCCCCGAAGGTTACGTTTAGGACTTCAGGCATTATTGCAGTGTCTAAAAGCACGTCGTTTTTCGTTTGGTGTCGAGAACAGTATATCATACAAGCGGTAATGCATGTAGAAATATGAGCCACTAACCTATGAAGATTGCCTATATATTAGTTCCCTGTAAGCCGCAAGTCTACATACGTCACTCTCGTTTTCAAAAACTGGTTATTGCATTAGAGCGAATTGCTTCTTGTGACTTGAAAGAAAACAGAGGGGAAAATATGCATCAGCGCCGCGGAATTGAAGGAACAATTTCTTTTTTTCTTTTTGGCCAAAGGAACAATTCTTTTCCATTGAAGCTTTATGACCTAATATTAAAGGATCACAGGGACCAGAATACTTCAGTTCACATACAGCATAAATTACACTCGTAACCTTATTCCATTCTCATCAAATACTTCGACAACGTCACTAGACAAACCATAAGTTGCAGGTAAGCCATCTGTGTTTTAAAGTGCGTTGATGCAGCAGCCATCATGATGAACTTCATAAATTGTCATCAAATATGGTGGACAGCAACAGCCCATGAACAAATTCACATCTTTTCGCCCTCTCTTCCTTATCCTTGACTGATAGGGGAGACGTCTCTACATTTCTGAAACAGCAATACCAGACATTTTAGATACTAACAGAGACTGAGATAACCTTGCAAGATGCCACGTCACATGATAGGTATTAACTAGAGAAAAATACAATTTTTGAAATTCCTTTTGGATACATCACTTCTGAAATTTGGATTAGTTAAAACTGTCACTTATATTTTTATCATCATAATAGATTTTTCCTGTCCCACTATATTGCACCTGAGCATTTTGCAAAAGGATAAACTTACATACTTAATTTTATATACTTAAGGTACTTGTTTCCAATTAAATTAAGACATATTTATTATTTATAAATTATTTATTCTACAATAAATTCTTATTAATGTTATTAACACAATAAATTACACTTGTTTTGATTTAATCAGATGCAAGTACATTAAGTATATAAGGCTAAGCACCTAAGTCTTGCCCTTTTGCAAATCCAGATCCCTCACATTTGAGATCTTAATTTAGACTGCCTTAGAGGCAAACAATTACTTGCTATATTTAAGATTATATATGTTTCTCCAAACATAAGGATAAAGCATGCATGTTTACTGCAACTGGAAGCCACTCATGTATCGCAGAAGTTATAATTGAAATATTTTTTCCAAAAAAAAAAAAAGCAAGTATTCTACAATCTCCCATAATGTTAATACTCTAGATTCATCTACTAAACATCAATATAAATTTATAAGCTTCATAAGTACCTAGCAGGGGCCTGGCACCATCTTTACCATACCCATGCTTCATAGCTTTAAAGTTCAAACATTAAATATAAGCTGGGCATTTGGTGTTGCCAGAAAGGAATATTAGCATGCAAACAAGCAGAATTGCAAGAAAAGGAGATGCAATTGAAAACTCTATAGACATACCGTTTTGAAACAGTTTCATTTGAGATTTTCTTGGTTGACCTTGATTCAGTAGGAAAGTGGGTCTGAGCACAGGCCAATTCATCAGCTACAGGCAATATAAACGATGACAGCAATGGATCGGCAGCTGCATTAGAAGAGGACACTGTACATGAGGACCCACCAAAAAGGGATTGTAAATTTCCTTCTCGCAGCTCCTTCCTCAATAGCGATAGAGTTGAATAAGATCCACCTTTACGTGATTTCCTCTTGCGCTGCATGTGGTCTCTAGTTAAGGTATTCAATGCATTATAGATCAACACCCTGGTCTTGATAAAGATGCATGGAATGCAAAAAGGACATTACTCCCAGACATGCCAAGAACAAAAAAAGCTATTGAAATATTCTGAAATCAGTGTTGTAACATTTTTTTTAATAGCAACAGGGTTAAAGTGTGTGCTTATAATTAAGGCTACTGCCATTAAGCATTTATTCATTACTAATTATTAGTGTGTGACTGGGTTTAGCATAAATTAAAACATAAATCCATTTAGAAAACCATAAACCTTACTATCAAGTAAAGAGGTTCCTTCCAAACTAATTTGTGATATCTTTCCATAACCCGAATGAAAGAATAATTTTCAGTTAAACAGCACAGAAATATAAAAGTACTCAAATAACTTGAAGTCTTGAACCTTCTGCAACATGTCCCACAATGCAATAAAACCTTAATAAATGCTCAAAAAATGAACTTGCAACAAAATGAACAAAAAAGTGTTAAAGAAAACTGAACAGTCGGCACACAAAACTTAAAAGAAAAGGATATCTTGAATATGCTTCCATGCTGTAGCGTTATGTGTGCAACCATATCAAACCCCACCCTCAATGCACAAACCGGACATACCTGCAAATGGAAACACTCCAATCACCAAAAGTCACAAATGATTTTCCCACTACGCTGGGAAGGAATGTATAACGTTTTTTCCAATTGAAAAATCATTAGCTCAGCTTAAACTTAACTTTGTAAGATTCAGAAAAGATAGAATCTTTAACTTCCAAGTCCTTAAATCAACATTCCCAAGCATACATCACTAATCCCTGACTCTCATGAGGAAAAAAGCAGAGAAGCAAAATTCATATCATATTACTAGTCATGATGATAAAAATAATCATGTGCATGAGTTGCTCCATAATTCCACAACTTGTTTAAACATGATCCATAGCTGACTCTGAAAATAGCAAGAGTCATTTAGTATCTATGACTCCCAACTAGATTAATTGCATTATTGCATCCTGGTTTTTATTAGAAATAATCATCACATAAAAAATCATGACATTCAGACATGAATATGACAAGAGTCTTAAATAATGCTGGATAGATAAAGAATCATCCAATCATCATACTATTAGAACAAAAGTGGTTGACAACTTGACATAAATCACTACAAAAAGCCTAACTTCTCAGATTTGCAAAAATAAGTCTTTGAAGTGATTTTAAAAAAAAAAAATCTACACGGGCATTGCAGTTTTGTTCGAACTTCAACTAGATGTTTGCATTAAAGAACATACCCACTTGACCTAAAATTAAGCTCCCAGAATACTAATCGCATGGATAAACTAAAATTCATCAAAGCCTAAATTGTTACGAGGTATCCATTAGATGCCTGAGACAGATATGATGAAATCATACATGTACTAACTGAGCAATGTGTAGGCAATAAACACTATGAACACCATCAGTTGCTTTGTAGTAAAAAGTAGAGTGCCTGGTGAAATTAGTCATACCCCACTTTTAGCCTCCATGGGATGCTCTTCATCGATGTGGCAGCATAATCCAACAATATCAAAATATTCAGAACAAAATGGGCAAAGAAACTCCTCCCTTATATCATCATCTCCATCATTTTCGTCAAAACCCATGAACATATCTACAGTAGCAGACTCTCACGTCAACAAAGCAATAAAAGAAATAGATGGTTAATAAGCACCAGAAAATGAAAATAATATAAGGGGGGTATGAGAGAGAAGGGAAAAGAGAATTTTGAAGCTTCAACAAGAGCCCGCCTTCAGTATTCCCGCGCCAATTTAAGGTTTCATGGATGAGTTATAATAACTGGCTTAGTTGAGTAAGATCATAGGATTAACCCACTTGTCTTTACTATTATAACTAATACTAGGCAATGAGAAATCGAATAGCAGTTTAATTTCTTCTGTTAACATTTCTAGCTGCAACAGTTATGCTTCTGATAGGAAAGAATTTCAATTTAACTTTAAACTTCTATCCCTTTATTTTTGCATCCTGATGAGAACATTCTCAAATCCCTTTCGCCCCTCCCAAAAGAATAGAAAATAACTAGGCCAACGTCTCTCAAGCAAGCTCCAGCTTTCTTATTTTTGACTCGTATGCGCATAACCTAAGGACAACGAAGGCTGTCCCATCGTAATAAATAGAAAAGCAAAATTGAATTTCCTAGAACATAAATCGAAGACAATTTCGTAAGAAATTAAAGAAGCCAGGACAGCGGAAAGGTGAATTGAAGAACCTGATCGGGATTGAAGAGCAGACTGGTAACGCTTAGAGGCAGATGAGAGACGAGCAGCCCAGGAAGAATCAGCATCCATGGCTCTTGTTTAATATTTAAGAAGCGACACTGCCCTGTCGATCAGAGTGAGAAGGAAGAAAAAAATTAGCGAACCCAAGAGATAATGATGGGAACACAGGGGTTCTGGAGGCTTCGTGAGGTTGAGGAAGTGAGCGAGTGAGGAGGAGGAGGAGAATGTCGAGGAAATGAGGTGCTTCTCCGGAATTTCACCGAACGAAGACGGCAAAGAGGAAAACATCCAACTAATATATATATTATATATATTCCTGGTCACTCTTGCTTTTATTTTTGCGCTGCTCGTAATTTTTAACTAACTATTCCACGGTTGATTCTATTTCAGTGTAAGAATCCGACACATTTCAGCTTGTCCATCTCTCAATTGATGTGTCTAATAATACCATAATAATAAATAATAAAATATTCTGAGAATAAAATAGAAAGAGTGTTATTAAATATTACTTTCGAATTCTAAAAACACTCGTAATGTAATAAAACAATTCGAAAAATATACAATAAAATGGATAGAGTATTAACTAACACCCAGAAAAATTAACTAATTTTAAGGCAAGTTTGTTTTGGATATAGTAAAAATTATATGTTTTTAAATAAAAATATAAATAATTTATATTACTTCAACACTAATTTTTATTACCTCCATCTCAATTTATAAAATACTTTTAAATAAAATTATGAATATTAATAAAACTTATTAAATATATTTTACAACTTTATTTTTTAAAAATAAAAATATTAACTTTTAAAAATATTTTTAATTTAATACTCTATTTATTAAAAAAATATTAAATAAAAATAATATATGAAAAGAGTGATATTAAAAAAATATTAATAAAATTTTAATTTTTATTAAATTATCTTATATTTTTTGACAATGAATCTCCTTAAAAAAAATTTATAACTTGAGGGAGAGAGAGTATTTTATGTTTATTTATACTTCTTTTGTTTATGCATACTTCTCATGTACCTAAGAGTAAGAAACATGTTTTGGCCCAAAAAAAAGGAAGAGAGTGAGAAACGTGGGAGTCCCTTTTATTATGGTTTTGGACTTCGGTCAATGAATCATCCAAGTCCAGCTCTGAACCCAAACCCGGGGACACAGGGTACAACGCCTACCCGCTCCGTTTTCCCTTTTTTTTTGGAGGGGGGGGGGGGAAGTTTGGGAGCCAACATGACTCGTTAGTTGGGGGGGGGGGGGAATTTTCAGACGTTGTATTATGAGTTTAACACTTTAACTAGTTTCGACGTCGGACTTTTAGTTTGGTCCACTGCGTGAGCGTGAATGATAAATTCATAACCATAACTCCTTTTAAAATATGCTTGTGTTTTTAACCAATGAACAAGACAGGTTGATGAGGAGAAGGAATTTCTCAGGGAAAGACACAGCAGCTAATGGCTAGACAGAATGGTTTGAGATATTATGGGTGACATGGCAGGCCTGTTCTGTTCTCATCCATGACAGGATACATCGAACGTTGTGGGAGAAGGAGGCAGTCACGCATTTTTCAAGACACTAAAGGCCTGTTTAGATAATTTTTAAAAGTACATTTAAATTATATTTAAAGTATATTTTTATTAAATTTAATAAATAGTTAAATCTCTCAAATAGTATTTTATTTTTATTTGTAAAAAAAAACTATCATTTTTTATTTTTTTATATAAGTAAAATTATATATTTTAATAAGCATTTATTACGTATTTTTTAAGTCATCCTTATAATTTATATTAATGAAAAATAATTAACGCATGCTTATATTGATTAACATAAGGTATTTTAATTTAATTTTTTTATTTTTAAATATAATTATTATAGTAATTAATTTTTTTAAACTATATGATACGTTTTTTTATATATAAAAATATATAAATATTTTATTAAATATAAATTAAAATTCAAACGAACACTGAAATACATCAGATGTTGTGGGAGACAATCGGTATGGGATGTCCCGCTTCTAATCACCTCACTTGATATTGCTGAATCCACTGCTTTCCCACCACGTTCAGTGCAATGTGTATACTGTGCCCTTGGGAAGTCCAATGTTACATATTATTAGCCCATGTTTACTTTTTCACTTTTCAAGGTCAACACTCCACACCAGATTTTATTACCCTTTTAAGTTCCTGTCTTGGGCATGTTCTTTTCTTTCCCTTCTATTAATATTAGTTAATTGGAATGTTAACTCCGGCATTGCATGAATAAATCTTAAACTATCAACTTATGTATTACATGGTTGTCCTTGATCCTGGCGCTCGTGATCAGAAATCGATCAAGATGACAATTTACTCTCACTATAAAATAAATATTTTAAAAATTTAACACAAATAAACAAAGCACACAACACAATAAAAGATATTTTATTCATCAAATCTTATCATTATTCCCGCAACAAAAAATCTTATCATTTATAAAAACTAAGTGAAAAAATTTTAAAAAATAATAATTTTTTATTACTTTTAGAAGTTTTTTATCACAATTTTTTCATTTTTTTTTTCTTGTCATCTAAATAAGGAAAAGTTTTCATTCCAAATACTGATGGCGGGTTTATATAGGCTGGCAGCCCATTGATAGCCCATACTATATTTCAACTTTCCCATATTGGGTGTTCATTTTACCACCACACTTTTCATGGGCTTCGCTAATGGAGCCATCTGCCCAAAATAACGGAGCCCCAACTCCTTCACAATCCGCTGTCACGTGATTTTCGGTACCCGCAAACTCCATCACGTGATTCCCTCAGCACCAATGTACCATGTGCCCGTGTCCATACCAAAGTGCCTCTTCCACCCTCCTGGTTTGACCGTGACAGAGCTTTCTTCTACTTCCTAATTTCTGTTGAATTCAGATCCATGTTTTAACATTGAATCTGAATTTTGAGCAACTGAATGGCGACGAGAAATCGTACGTTGCTCTATAGGAAGTACAGAGATGCATTGAAGAGTGTTCGGGTTCCGTCGAGTTCTACGGCCTTGACGAGTTCCGGCGGTGCTGGTGGTCCAGTGATTGAATTGGTCAGTACGTCGCTTCTGAATCAGAATCGTCCTTATGCTCCGATTAGTACCGAGGATCCTGGTTATTCAAGGTACGCCTTTGCCTCACGTAATAGATCCTATTGATAATCTAGTTGTTATTCTCCTGGTTGTGGACCAAATGCGGATGCGCCTACATCAAGAATGTTCTCTTTGTCAATAATTCGTTAGCACGACAGCGAGCCATTTAGGTTTTTTGTGCTCAAAATTTCGTTTCAGTTTAAAAAAGAAGTCATAAGGAATTCATAACAATTGATCAGAGATCGGTAGCATTGGACACTTTCTTATGTATGATCATCGAGAACGAATCCGATCTATGCAAAACGATTAGTTTTGGGTCCTTGTCGCGGCACATTGTTTGTATATCGAAGCCGGAGTTATCTTCCGTAAGTGCTGTAAGGTTCCCACTGCGTTTTATAAGTGTCTGGGCTGGAAACGCCCTTGTTCTGCTCTTCGAAGTTGAAACCATATTCGGTAGGATTTGTTGGCTGAGAAAAATAGTGAAGGAACTGTATATGACGTTAAAGCACTGTAGAATTATCTTTTTTATAGTTCGTACGTGAAGCTTGTGGAATTTGGACCGATAGATGAATGATTTCTCTCACTCCTCTTGTATACCGGTGATTTTTTTTTTTTAATTGCTGATCAATGTGAAGCCCGTGGAATGTGGACTGCCAGATAAATCATTTGCGCCCGTCTTGTTTATCAGTGGAAGATTTCTTGTTCGTGTGGCGGAGGAATGCCATGAAAACGGATGTACTTCATCTAATTTGGACACTTCTAAAATTTTGCGTTTTTCATTGTTTGTTTTTTTTGGTAATTTCGTGGTGAAATTACGTATCCTTTGCTTTTGACTTGCATGAATGTGTACATTCATATAAACTTGCTACTTCTTCTGGATTCAGTAAGGGTCCACTTACTGTAGGACTACCTCCAGCTTGGGTGGATGTATCTGAAGAAATATCAGCCAACGTGCAACGAGCACGCACAAAAATGGCAGAGTTGACCAAAGCTCATGCAAAGGCTTTAATGCCGTCATTTGGAGATGGTAAGGAGGAACAACGAGCCATTGAAGCTCTAACTCACGAGATAACTGACTTGATAAAGAGATCAGAGAGACGACTGCAGAGACTTTCTTCTACCGGGCCTTCAGAGGATTCCAATGTGAGGAAGAACGTGCAGGTATACTGCTGAACTGTTATGCCTTTCTGGAACAACAATAAATCTTTTACTTTGTTCAATTAATCTGAAAATCTTCACCATCTCTCTATCGACAAAGGATATAACTCTTCTGTGGTGTGTTATTCTGTTAATCGAGTCTCTGACCATGCCTTCTTTCTGCCGTTATGTTTACGAGCTTCTTCTTGGATAATCTTTCAATTGGTTTTGCAATTTGTTAGGACTTTTTTTTATGTTTTCTGTGAAATCATGCAGCGTTCTCTAGCTACTGACCTTCAGAACCTCTCTGTAGAGCTCCGCAAGAAACAATCAAATTATTTGAAGCGACTTAGACAGCAAAAGGAGGTGAGAAGTTTTACAAATAAAAAAAAAAGTTGGAAAATACTTTCTTTCTTTAAATATTTGCTGGCAGAATAACAATTTAACAAACCTATAGCATCATCGATGCGATTCAATTCAGTACATATCAGCACGCAAGATTCTATGCGTAGTTTCATTTACAGAATTGCATCCCCCGTATATTACCACTTATTGTTTGATTTCAGCAATTGAACTTGTATAATTTCATAGCATCAGTTAACTCTGAACTGTTGACGAACAGATTAAGTGTATTCAGTGTTATGTCATTAAAAAAAAAATATATATTATAAATATACTGCCAAAGATTGCATTGCTCGCCTCTGCGCTTTACTCTCTTGGTTGGAGTTTATATCTCAGTTACTGTGATATACAAGCAAAAATAACTTGTGGATCATGTTTTAACTAATATTTTGTGATTATGTAGGGTCAAGATGGGATGGATCTAGAGATGAACATAAATGGAAGTAAATCCAGATTTGAAGATGATGCTTTGGACAATATGGTATTTGATTTGTATTATTTCTCGATCGGTTCATTTCATTCTTTCTTGGGAAAGAAGATGAGCTCAGGAATTTTATCACTATCTTGCTCATAAATTTTTGGGAGAACGATAAATAAGTCCTAAGGGGACCATTAATTCACATTAAGTTCTAAAGTATCAAACTTAAAAAATTTATAAGTTTAATTCTCAATTTTACAACATTATTATTATAAATTTACAATTTATATTTCAAATTTTAATAAAGAAAACGAACTTGTTTATTCTTCAATTATGTTAAAATTTGAAAACAAATTATAAAGTTATCACAACGAAGTTGCAAAATTAACAGCCGAACTTATAAATTTTTAGAATTTGACACTTTGAGACTCAATTTAAATTAATTAATTTTTTTGAGACTTATATGTCAATCTCACTTACTTTTTTCACTGGGACAATAATTGACAAATTTTATAATCCATTCCACCGGCTGTTTCATTTTTTTACAATTTTGAATATTTTTTGTACGTGGTTGAATAGTAGTGACTCAGTTAAGCTGGCACCGTCAAAAAAAATATACTTAGGTATTTAACGAGCATCAGATGGCCAAGCTGAAAAAAAGTGAGGCATTCACGGTAGAAAGAGAAAAGGAGATCCAACAGGCAAGCAAAAGTTCCTTATTTGCTGTGCTGACCTTTTTAGACTTCTTACTAATTGCTATGATGTTGATGGACTAAAAAGGATTCCTTCTATGATCTTACAGGTTGTGGAATCAGTAAACGAGCTTGGTCAAATTATGAAAGATTTGTCTGTGCTAGTTATAGATCAGGTCAGCAGATATCTCTCAGGAGTTTACTCCCTTCTTAATCGGAGTCAGGATGGCAAATTGACACACTCTTTATACAGGGAACGATTGTTGATAGAATAGACTACAACATTCAGAATGTTGCAACCACAGTTGATGATGGCCTTAAACAGCTGCAGAAGGTCTGATTTCCCTCTGGTCATTAGTTTTTTTCCCCCACCAGGAATGGACTTCATTTTTTTCAAGCTTCCTTCTTTGCCTATCTATCTCATCTCATTCTCTTTTATTCTCTTTTTTCCCCTCGCTATTATGGTAATCTAATGGTTCATGGGACATGCAGGCGGAGAGAACACAAAAGAAAGGGGGCATGGTGATGTGCGCAACGGTGCTTATTATCATGTGCTTTATTATGCTGGTTCTCTTAATCCTCAAGGAAATATTTTTGTGATCCATGGGGACCTGACTCTTTAATTATGGTCACTTCTCATTGCGGTGATCCTCTCCACCGACATTAACCAATGCCTGATCGGAGAAAACCGAAGAGTATTTCAATTCTTTATCTTTGTTGCGGATGGGTACGGAGGGTGGCAGGAGGCACCGGGCACGTATTCTAACCTTTGAGGTTGGCGGGATTCAGTGGGAGAGGGTACATATGACCCAAAGATCTATAGAGCGGCTGTATTTTGATTCTTTTAGCGGAACAATTATTTCTTCTTCCAACCTCGTACTGAACTCCCGCCACCACCCCAACCCCCCCCCCCCCCAAAACCAAAATATATATATTTTGTCGATATTCTCATTTTCCTCTGATATTCTTTTTTGGTTTCCTCTCGCGTGCTTGAGTTTCAAGGGAAAGAGAATTTGTGTTTATATCAAAATATTCATTCAATAAAATGACGTGTTTAAGCTGGAACAGAAAGTCTGCGTTCATGACGGGACATGTATATTGGGGCTTACCATTGCGTTGTTGCATATATTTTTGGCGCGAAGGAAGGACAGAAATTGATGAGAGGAAAAAGGAATGAACACGAAGCAACTTGGTTTGAAGTTTGATAGGCAAAAGGCTTTTTTTCCTTTTTTTGGATTTTATTTCATTTAAAATAAATTACATTTAAATATTAGATAAACTGGCCTACTGGCTGAAAAAAAAAAAAAAGTTTTGCCTAAAAGATATGAATCAAATTTTTGAAAATTTGAAATATGGCCAGTTCACATCAACATACAATAAATTTATCATTAATATATAAAGAATTTATCATTGAAAATTTAAAAATTTACAAAATATTAATTATTAATATATAATGATATATCATAAACAAATATCATAAATTGGTTGTAATGCAAAATATATAAATATTGCGCTAGTTGTTTGATTTGATCTTATAATATGAGTTAGATCTGTAAAAGTCTCTTAAATATTTTGTCAATTTGATTATTTTTTTTCGTTTATGTTAATTTTATTCTTTACCTTTTATTCTCCCGTTCTTCTCCCTCGATTGCCGTTCAGCTTTGAAAAAAAAATAAAGCAGCGCGAAGCGGAAAAATCTCATAAATACCATTCCTTGTTTGTTTGTGCAAGATAAATACCCTTCCTTATCATTCCCATTTTTTAACCTTTTATTAAAGATAAAAATCAAACGAAGGAAAACCTATTTTACCACAAAAAGCAACCAGAATTCATCTTAGCGTGGAAACTCTGTTTTATGCGAATCAAAGTTAAATGTCTGCTGATTTTTATTTTTTTTACAAGGCACAGGCCTTGTTATAGGTGTAGGGAGCTCTCCTTTGGTCACAATTCCATAACTTCTAAACTCCTCTTTAAACGGTGCTTTCTCCTATGAAAGGTTTTCAGGGGAAGTTCTTGTCTTCTGAGTTCTGACCATTACCCCAACAAAACTACATAACTTTTTTTTTTAATATATATATATATATATATATATATAACATTTCTCTGCATTTCCTTCACGTATTTGCCATACTTTCCGCTTTCGCAAGGAAAAATAAATCAACAAATCTCAAAGGATAAAACTCCATGATTCAGTAAATAAATTTCTGAACTTTGAGAAAAAAATTAATTTACCAAATACAGCGTTTCTTTTCTCCTTCAGTTACAAACATACTGCCACATCATCTACATTATCGGATGTCAAATTAATGTTAATGAATTGACGAATTCTTGTCACTTCTCCGTGGGTAGTTTCAGACCATTGCTAGCCTAGTTTCTTTTTCCCTGGATTACAGTGTGCTAGTCCTCTTGGTGCAACTACCCTCCATTTCCACAAATAAAAATATTCAAATACAATGAACAATAGCAGTGATAATATTGCAGGCAACTAGCCTGAATGCTTCTTCCTCTTAGAGTTGATCAAATCAGATTCTGTAAATGATCTTTGGACAAGGCCGGATAAGGTCAACTTGAGATCAAAGGTCAATCTAGGAAGTATCCTTGACAAAGTATTCACGTCTACCATAGCCCTATGAGCTGATCCATCCGCTTGAATTCCATAAAGCTCGCGAAGGGCCTCAAGCGTTGTTGAAGAAAGTTTTGTTCCTGCCCACAAACATAGTGTCAGTTACTTCACACCTAAGCTGCGAGTGCTTCTGTGCGAGGGGGGGGGGGTGAGACAGCAAGAAAGAGACCTACAGACTTCTTCAGTTCACGTGCCAACGGAAGGGTATCTGCAAATAGCCAATTACGAGGAATTTCTACAGAACAACGTCTAAATTCATTAATGATGAAGGGTACATCAAAACAGCGAGCATTGTGACCAACCCATAATACATATCCGCCAGGCTTCTGACGGCTTTGAATATACTGTGACAAGATGGGAATCAGGTCCTCCATCCTACAGAAAATCCAAAAAAACAAAAAACAAAAAAATTAATAATAATCGCTCAGTGATTTCTCCTGCAAAATTACCTGAATTAAACTATAAGTGCATAATCAAATGAGAAACGCTATAATGATACTAGTAGCTTTGTCAATCAGTAATTCTCGTGCTAAAATGATAGAGAACATTTGAAACCAATAGATTTGCTTGTTTCTATCACTCTTTCACTGAGAGCATTTCATGGTCAGAAAAAAAAATCTTCTTCAATCCAATTGTTAAGTGCCACATCAACCTAAACCCTTGTGTCCTACCCATATAATGTGAGATTATCTTATCTGCTTATCCAGTCTAAACAAGCATCCTTTTCAGTTGTTCTTTTGTTGTCAATTAGTTGATAATAAGGAAAGAGGAAACGCCGGCCAAAAAAAAAAAAGGAAAGAGGAAACAGATGGTGAGACAGTATATCAGTGCAAGCTTCTGGTCTTCCAAGCATAATCCAAAAAAAAAAAATGCAAAATCCACAGAAGATTACCTTGGAACATCAGGCCTGTTAACCATCATAGTGGTGATGCCATGAATGTAGGAATTAGTAACATCACATACAGGATTTACAAGAGTTTGGAAGGTGCTATTCTCACCACCTCGAAGATCTCGGAGTGCAATCTCAACGATCCGTCCTTCTTTTCTGCTAAGCCCAGTAGTCTCAAGATCAAAAGCAATAACAGTGACTTTGGTAGATAAGTCTTTATTCTGAGTAATCTCCTGCCGTATGTCACAGTATTGCAAATCCTGGAATTGAACTAACTGTGTTTTATTTACATTTAATGCAGCACTTTCTAATATTGTTTCACTTGAAATTTCAGGCTTGATGTTCTGATCTGGTTCCAGGTGGTTTGGTTATTTCCCTTTCCTTCCGTTTTTGTAGCTACAGGTCTTCTACTACTCCACTCCTTACTGTGCCCTCCATCCTGTCCATAAATTCTAGAACGAAGTAGCCTAACACTTGAATTATTACCATAAATCTTACTTGAACTGTGGAAGGTTTCGTCCCAATAATTAGCTATGCTGTGTATTCTGCATCTGGGTACTTGCAATAATGAAAAAAACATGGTTTCTATCTTCATCTGAATCCAATACAAATAAGCAAGATTATATAATCAGTAATTCATCACTTCATGAGCCAGCAGCTACAACCTGCACCAAAGCACAAAAAATATCAACTGGGCTAAGAAATTGCCACACCAGCATAAACTATTGTGCAAGACTTATCTGCTATTATATGTCTAGCCAACACAAAGCAAGACGTAAAGTTTTGCTTATTGATTCAAAAAGAAAACAAAGTTTTCACATAGAAAATAACTATTTATAGTTCAAAAGTTTTGAATACACGTACTGACATATCTTAATAATTTTGTAATTAGTAGACCCAGTGCAGGCCCTTTACATATCAAAACACTAGTCCTTTTTTTGTCGAAGCACCCCAAATACAAGTAATTTCTGAATTAAAGAAATTGGATTTTGCCATACTAGACCAATAACAAAAACTTGCAGAAAAGTAAAAAGAGAAGTTCAAATCCAAATGTTCAACAGACCCAGGAAATAGAAGGTCGGTCCTCGGTGACATTCAATTTCATTATATCATATAAATGATAATAGCTGCAACAAAACTCACTCCAGAGTCAATTAAAGCATATCATTCAACTAAATCAAGCCTTTAAATAGAGGTCGATGTGTTTTGATTGCATCGATTTGTCTTGTGCAACGTCAAACAATTATAGACCAGCATTCCTTTTCTGACAATATTCCAAAAATCCCCAAAAAACAAGAAAGTGAAGAAATCTGTTGGAGTTCGTTATGCCAATCGGCAATGTGATAGCAGCATGAACAACACATTTAAAGCAAGGCGTGAATTAATTGATAAGGCAAGGATTTCAATCAAGTCATGAGTTTTATAAACAGATACATGAAAAGCACTTCCACAAATCTATATCAGCAAATCAAGAGCCATATGAACAAAAATACAAATAAAATATCTATAGATGGAAGGGGGGGAAAGGAAAGCAGAAAAGTCGTCGCAATATAACAAAAAGCTAGTTGTAAGTCGCTCAACCAGAACGAGGACCTTAACGACTTAACCACTAGTTGAAATTAAAACAAGAAAATCAATCATGCTTTGTTCTAAACGCCAAGGTCGTTAATTCCTTGCAGAAATGGTTGCAACATTTTCTTATTGAACTCAACCCGATGAATATGATTGGGAAAACTAAGACTCAGTCTCATCAAAAAATGAGTAAATAGAAGCTATACTTCAATGCCAGGAATCATTTTTATTTAACTTCAAAAGAAAAATAAAATTATGATAAGCACAGATTCAATATCGACTCCGCCAGAAGTCGCCCCCGGGCAATTTGAAAAATGAAAGGGGCAAGCAGGCAGGAAAGAAAACAGTTGAAAGGAAGGTAGAGACTAGAGAAGAAAAATTGCCTGATGGTGAAGGCGAGTCCAGCAGACGAAGAAAAGCATTAAGCTTGAAATCAGAAGGCAGGTCCATTTACTTAGAGGCGAGAGAGGGGAATGAAGGAGGAGGAGGAACGTGAGACCATGTGGAGCGAGAAGAAATATCGGAAAACTGGGCAACTATGCCCCCAACAACAACGCAACTTTCGGATCACCTTGTTCCTTGGGCGTTCTTTTCTCCTCCACTTGACCCCGTCCTTAAAAAGTACTCAAGTCTCAACTCCGTTCATTGTATTTTAATAAAATTTCACCATTATTTATCTTTAAATTAATGTTATTTTTTATATTTATTTTTATTTAATAAAATATTTCGCTTTAAAATAAATATAAAGTAATTTTTTATTAAAAGTACTTTTAAAAAAATGCGATAATTACACCTTAAAATATTAAAAATGTCTTACATTTTTTAAAAATAAAAGAACAAAAATACCCACAAAGTGGTCAATCAGGGGCATCTAATATTCTAAAGTGAGAAAAATGATAAAAATAACCCATCACATTACATGAGTGGATACAAAAGTAAATAAACCATTAACTTTAACCTAACATCATTAACTCTAACAGTTAAATGCTATTTGTGCATGCCACGTGTCAACCTTTGTTAACGTGGACTAATAAAGGGGCAAAAAATACCCATAAAATTATCTTTCAAGAGCAAAAATATTCATAATGTTATCAAAGTTGGTGCAAAAATAATCAATCCATCAAATCCCTTAAATGTTGATTGTTTAGCTAATACCTAACTAGAAGTTGTTCATTTTTTCGTTGACATGGACAAAAAGTATTTTCAGATGAAATTCTCTGAAAGTTAATTTTTCATTGTATTAATATCATATGAAAAAATATTGTTTTGACTAAATATCAAATTAAATTATTTTTTTCTTTGCAACAGTGGCAAAAACTATTTAAAAATTTTAAACCTATCATAAATAAAATTACTTAAAGTAATAACAATTTCTTGAAGGTAGAGTGGTGTGGGAGATATACTCAATCTCGATCTTTAATTGTATATAACATATCTCACCATATTAAATAAGTTTTGCAAACAAAAAAAGAGTGGAAATGAAGGAAAGAAGAGGGCGAGATACATGACGATGAAAAGAAACCATGTGACATGAATTTTAATGAATTGGTCATTAATTATAGGTACTCATATAATAATCAATTAACATCTATAAAAATTTATTTGGAAATATTTTTGGTTTATATCAAGAAAAAAATAGTCAACTTTTATTTATATGTCAGCTAAACGGTCAACATTTAAGGAATTTGATGTATTGATCATTTTTACACCAACTCTAGTAATATTATAGGTATTTTTGCTCCTGATCGACAACTTTATGGGTATTTTTATTTCTTTATTAGTCCACATCTGTAAAGGCTAACACGTAATATACATAGTCAGTATTCAACGATATTTCTTTATTAGTCCACATCTGTAAAGGCTAACACGTAATATACATAGTCAGTATTCAACGATCAGAGTTAATGGCATTTAGTCAAAGTTAATAGTTTGATTACTTTTATACCCACTCATGTAACATTATGTATATTTTTACTCTTTTCCTTACTTTAGAATATTAAGTATTCTTGGCTGACGACTTTATGAGTATATTTGTCCCCTTACCCCCTTTTTTAATATCTAATCTCTTAAAAATGTCTTATATTTTTTAATAGAGGAATGAGGGAGTAATATTTATGCATTTTTAGCATACCAGACTGATAAAACTAATTGATAATTAAAAAAATTAAGAATTAAGATTATGTTATCTCATTTTTTCTTTTTGGCAAGTAATGTCTTTAAAAGAAATAGAGGAGGAAAAACATACCTTGAGTCGTTAATTCACACGTACGCATGCGGAAACAAAGTTACACCAGTCAAATTTCGTTCGGGTACACAACAAACGCACTCTCTGAAAGAAAAACCTTGTAAAGAGAAAAATGAGACCGATGAAAAACCGAGAGCATTCTATTTGTCTCTTCACGTAAAGAATCCAAATCTGAACCGAATGAAATTGCACCCATAACCACCTCTTATGGGAGCGTGTGACAGTTTCTCCAACTGCCCATGTTTCAAATTCAAAGGTTGGAGAATATTACATTTTAAGGCCCTGAGCAAATCGCATTTTGAACCCAAATGTTTTTTATAATTTTCATAAGAGCCCCATTCCCCAATTTAGGCTTTTATATGGACCTGATTCACCAAAGGTGGATAACCCAACATCTCCCACTCACACTTGGTAGAGAAGATAATGTCAGTTCTATCTCTTTCTCTTTCCTCTCTTCATACTAGGTGCTTTGTCGTGACCGCATAGGCTTGACGTCTTCATTTCAGTTATTTATACTACGAAATCCTATTAAGGACTAGCACAAATAACTTTAAAGTTGATTTTATTCTAGATTAAATTCGTGCCTTAATGTCCTAAATTTACCAATATATACTTTTTCTCATCATGACTAATCTGATCCCTCTTAAGTTAGTCCAAGACTCAGATAGTTTTTCTTATACGTGTAGTATCCACACTTATTAATTCACAAATTATTTCATAAGAGACATGTCTTGAATACGAGCATAGATGTATATATTTAAGATAATCTTCCCTTTGCCCATATACCACTTTGATAGGAAACAATCACTTTCTTAAAACGAAACCTTTAAGTCGCATCAATCATGACCAGAGGGTGCATGTTAAAGTAGCAGACACTGTAACATATCTCCATGATAATGTCAATGTCAAAGGACATCAATGAAAGGATTTTTTCCTTTCTGGGACTCACACAGCAATGAAGCAGGGATTTATTCACTTGCTTCTCATTGCGATTCTTAAGCACATGTGGTATGAAATACATGTTATGGTGTTACTCTTGCTTGTAAGAGTGTACGTCATTTTCATTTATTATTAGCATCACACAAACATAAGTTTAGATATTCATTGTATATAAACCTAAATTCTTCTTTTCTATTGATCTCACATGACGTCAATTTAGAAGAATTTATCGTTTGGCTACAGGTATCATAGATATGGGGATCCATGATTCGATCCAAGTATGCTTACGGATCTCATCTTTACTTGCTCTTTGATCGAGGCGACATATGATTTGTGTTTCTTTTCTACCAAATCAACATTTTTGTTGCCTTGCTGGTGAACACTAATGTCTCATCTTTGATTTCAATATCAAAGGTAGTTGCTCGTGTGAGAGAGTCAACCTTATCAACCTGAATGACATACTAGACATTGTATGTTCTCAATTGTACACATATGAAAGTAATGAAAAAAATTATTAATATAACCAATATATTACATCAAGTCAATCTAGCCATGCCACGAGCCCTTACATGTTTCTCAAATATCTCCTTGGTTATGGGTTTTGTTAAGGGATCTGCTATCATACATTTCGTGGAAATGTATTGAACAATGATAACTTTTTGCGCTATATCATCCCTTACAAAATTGTACTTAATGTTTATGTGTTTGGTTTTGCTATGATATTTAGGATCTTTGGTATAGGCTATGACTGCAATATTGTCACAATGAATTAACACTGAATTTGTACTTTCATTTCTAAACCCAAGATATTCTATAAATCTCTTGAGCCATATAGTCTCTTGCACTACTGTAGTACATGCTACAAACTCAGCTTCCATAGATTGTAGGGCAACGCATGTCTGTTTCTTGCTACTCCAACAAATGGCCCCATTGTTTAGTAAGAAAGTATAGCTTGAAGTTGATCTTCGTTCATCTTCATCTCTGCCTAAATTTGCATCAGAGTATCCTGTCAAGCGTAGATCACTCCCTTGATAACATAGTGCATAGTCAACAGTACTCTTTAAGTATCTTAAGATCCTCTTTACAGCTTTCCAATGTCCTTCTCTAAGGTTGGATTAGTAGCGATTCACAAGTCCTACGGCATAACAGATATCTGGTCTTGTACACATCATTGCATACATCAAACTTTTGACTGCACTAGCATATGGAACTCTTTCCATTTTCCCTTTGGCTATCTCAGTTTTAGGACCCATATCAAGACTAAGCTTCACACCTAAAGGTATCCATGGGTTTACAATCTTTCATATTAAAATGCTCAAGAATTTTCTTTATATAAGTCTCTTATGATAGATAAAGAAGCTTCTTCGAGCGATTTCTTTAGATTTTAACTCCAAGAATATATTATGCTTCACCTATGTCTTTAATTTCAAAATTCAACGAAAGCCATTCTTTAATAGTGATTATCGAATCCAGACTATTTTCAGCTAGTAAAATATCATCCATATAAAGAGATAATATTACAAAGTTCCTATTGAACCTCTTGATATAAACACAGTGGTCTTCCTCAATCATTTGGAAGTCATATGAGGTTATTGCTCTGTGAAACCTCAAATACCACTGTCTGGATGATTGTTTTAGTCCATAAATTGATTTATTTAATTTACATACTTTATTTTCTTTTCCTTTTTCAATAAAACCTAATGGCTGTTGCATATAAATTTCTTCATCCAGATCACCATTAAGAAAAGCAGTCTTTACATCCATCTGGTGCAACTCTAAATCCATACTATTTACTATTGCCAAAATCAGTCTAATAGAATTGAAGCATACAACAAGAGAAAATGTATCCTCATAATCTATTCCCTCTTATCGTGTATACCCTTTTGCTACTAAGTGAGCCTTGTATTTATCAATTGATTCATCCACTTTTCTTTTGATTTTGAGAACCCACTTGTTCCCAATAGCCTTTCAGCCACATGGTAAATCAACTAATTTTCATACTTTGTTAGTCCTCATGGAATCCATTTCTTCATCTATTGCTTTCTTCCACTTATCCTTGGTAGGTCCTGATAAAGCTTCATTTACAGAATGTGGCTCATCATCATCTAAAGGAGTTACTATCCATGCTTCACCCTCAATTTGGAAGCATCTTTTTGGCACACTTTCTCTATTACTTTTTTGAAGTAGGGTCTCTTGTGGATTTTGATTCTTTTTAGGTCTTCTGAAAGACCTTTTAGAGCTTCCACTTAAATCAGCATTTTACAATAATTCAGGCCTTTTTATAAGTTCTATATTATGTTGCTCTCATGTCTCGTAAAGAGATATTGTTCGATCAATTTCTCCCCTGCTAAGAAACTCATTTTCTAAAAATGTGATATTCCTAGATTCAAATTCAGTTACAATTCCATCATCATT